CATTCGAGTGCCGTTATCATTTTTGTTCCTACTCAGAATAATTTTACTTGTGAACAATTCATCATTTTGACTTTTATTATATCACACAAAGTGTTCATCTATTGCTTGCATGCACAAAACCCCATACGACAAAAAAAGAAACAACCACACACACACACACACACACACACACACACACACACACACACACACACACACACACACACACATACGCACACACGCACACACACACGCACACACACATACACTCACAACACACACGCACGCACGCACGCACGCACGCTCACAAACAAATATACACACACATTCATTACTCTACTCACTTTTTCTGGCATTATCTTTTCAAAATTTGACATTTATTGCTGCAGATAATATCAAACCGTCTCAAAGACAAATAGACAGACAGACAGTCAGTCAGACAGACAGACAGACAGACAGACAGACAGCAGCAAACAGTTTGGCACTTTTTCACTTTTAAAAGTTGTAATTTTATCAAATGGTTTGTTTCCAATTTACACTCAATTTAAAAAATTTGAATAAAGGAGAAAAAAGTTATTTAAAATTTGATTGCTCAAAATAAACTGCAAACTTCATGAATGAATAAAGCTGAATTTCAACAGCGTTAGAAACCAGACACTTGTAAACAGAAATAAGGTAAGATAAAAAGAAATAAACAAAGCGATTAATCCAACCAATTCACATGTGCAATTTGAATAGAAACAAATAAACAAAGCGATTAATCTAACATGGCAATGGATGGATAACAGAAACAAGCTGAATTATAACGCATTGAATTGTGTTTATTTGAAATACTCCATGTAATTTTAAAAGCCAATTTACTAAAAATAACATTTTTTTTCTGTTTATAATGTATAACTACTTTTCCCGTAAATCATTTTTAACTGCCAGTTACATATCTATATAGGCTGAAGTTGTACGTTCAAAAACACGGTATATGTTGTATGCTGTTTGCTATGTGCTGCAATAAATGTCAATCATCGTAACTAATAACAAAACGAAACAAACTTCATAACAGCATTCACACAGTGGAACGAGTAACTCTTTCTCTCTCTCTCTCCTCTCTCTCTCTCTCTCTCCTCTCTCTGTTTCTCTCTCTCAATACACACAATATAAATAATCAATACTAATATCTATTCAGTAGAATCTATACTATATATACATATATACTTATACATATATGTATGTATATATATATACAATATTTGAAAAAATCTACCGAATTTTTAGCTTTTGAAAGTTTACGATTGAGCTTTTCATTATTCCTAACAGTAATTATATAATTATTATCCAATTTATTAAACTATTCTCTTTGCTTGTTGATTTGCGGTTTTCTTTGGTTAATGAAAATCGCTTCAGCAATTCTTAGATGGTTGTGGTTTTGAAAGAGGCTGCAAAGCAACTAAAAGAGAATAAAAACGCTGTTGTTCAACGAACAGACAAGTCCAACCTATTTGTAATACTGGACAAAAACAAATATTACGCCAAGTTGAGTAAAATCCTAAACGACCACACAAGATTTTACACGAAAGATATTGGTAAACAATACTAGTATAATATACTGTATACGGTAAAAAGAACTATAACCATCGAAGAATTGCTGAAGCGATTTTTATTGACTAAAGAAAACCGCAAATCGACAAGCTGCAAAGAATAGCAACAGCATTACCAGCCAGAAGAATATTATTGACAGACATTTACAAGCAAAGAGAATGAACAGAACAAAGATTTAATAAATGGACTGAACCAAGATATAACAAACGGACAAAGAAAAGCAGAATTAAAACACTATGCACAGGACAAAGAATTGTAAAACCTTGAAATATAAGCGCTAATGATGAGGAAAATCGAAATGTGGCTTATAGGTTTCACCGTGAACACCAACGATTTCCTTATTAATTTTAATAAATTGGATAATAATTATAAAATTACTGTTAGAAATATTGAAAAGCTCAATTGTAAACTTTCAAAAGCTAAAAATTCTATATATTTTATCAAATAGAGCCATCTACAAAACTGGAATAAAGACAAAATAAATTCATGAAAACACATCGACGACATTATCACGAACCTCTCCCCCTTTACCAGATGAAAAGTTCCGCAACAACATCAACAAACTTATGAAATCCTTTAAACAGGATGTTAGAACCACAAAACACATTTCACAACAGATAGAGACCATAAAAGATAGAATCCAACAGATTTCTATAGAGAAAAATACCATGCAAATATTGAAGCCCACGCGGAATCCATCATTAATAAAGACAAAATAAACAAAAAGATAAGCAATAGCAAGATCAGGAATATCATACAACAATCCCTACAGACCCTGACACAGAATACTACCACCACCAACCCGTACCTACTACCATCCCGGAGACTGTTACAACCCCCATTAAACCCCACTCATCACCTAAATCCAACCCTACCTCTAACCCAAACCCCCACTTTCCAGAGCTACACCTTCCTCACACCCTTCACACTCCGGACAACCACTCCCATACCCAACAACGCCACTCGCCCAGGATCTATCTCACACACAAGAGAAATAGATTTTGAAAATCTAATAAAAAAAAGGTCCAAAAACTTAAGAAAATAGAATAAAACAGGAACTAACAGTTTAAAGAAATGAAAAAATTGTTTGGTATCTGGCTAGCCAGATCTTTATCAAAAACTCGAATCAAAAACTCAAACGAATGGATAAGAAACTCTACCAACACACCGGAAAGATGAATAAAACCAGGACGACACCAATACTGAACAACAACAACAGAAATCAACTACCCAGCAGGAAGCTATAACCAAACAAACAAGACCCACGGACAATATCACTCTACCCCAGGGACCAATACTTAGGACTACGCGCAACAATGTTCCAAAAACTAACTTCTATCTCAATTTTTCTGATAAAAATGTACGAACACATTGCACATAATAATAACAAAATCATCAATTCATACTCAATCAAAACACACTCCAAAAATAACACAGACCAACCTTCTCACAAAGGCTTAGCCTTAATACCTGCACTCCGTTGCACACACACACCTCCGACTATGAAATGTGCATTAACAAGGTAATAAAAAAAATTCCTAAACAACAAAAGATTGAGACAAAAGACCTATTCCAAGCATTCAACCCAGTGGAGACCACAACTTTTATTACCCCTAGGAAAATCAGCACAAAGGAACCTCCTATCCTGCAACCACACAACACTGAAACCATCATCAAACTCAGACAGACCTTCAAAAAATTTATAGAACACCATACACTCACTGAAGAAGATTAACCTAATTGATCAAAACCGGTTTAGGTTATTGTATATTACTGTTAATAATTTTATGATTTTTCCATAATAAAATTTGTAGAAAAATATATTACTACCTCTTTGGCATTTATCAAACGTGTTGCTGATAGTATAGAATTCACTGTGTACCCACTGGTTGCTATCTTTCGGGGATAATCGACTCTAACCTCATACACACAGGCACAAACGCACACACACACACACAAATACACACAAACACATACATACACATACACGCACTGTCACAAAAGATTTTTGGCTGCTTCAGTATATTTCATAAATTTTTTCTTAGTTAAGGCTTTATTGTAGCATGCTTATGAATTTGTAATCAAATCTCTAAGATATAGTATAGTATATATTATATATATATATATAAGCGTCATATCTTTAAAATATATTCACTCACTATTGTCATCACAACATGGTCTTCGTATTATCACCATATCATTGAATAATTATATTAAAATCGTTATCAGCTAATTTCATACTATGATCATCAGACTTTATCATGACACGTTACTTTCATCGTCATCATTATTATTACAGTGTTAATTTCATCATCGTTATTTTAGGACAACATTTCTACGTGCAATCATCACACGAAAAACATAATCAGTCGTGCTACCGATCTAATTGTTGAAACCCCCTTGTTAAGATATTAAATTAACTTCTGTTGAAAACATCTTTTTAACTCTATATTCCTGATTTATTAAATTATTATTTTAATTTAATTGATCCGTAACACATCTTTGTACCAATTATTTAAAACATATTCAGAAAACTTTAACGGATAGGGGAGCAAAATTAAATTTGTGTTATTGTGGCCAAGTTTTTTTGGCTTGTCACCAATTTTTGGTCGATTTTTACATAAAACGTTGATTTTTTTGATTAGAAACTGAGTTTTACTGACTTTTCATAGAAAAACTACTCACAACTGGACATCGACCCCCGGCCCTTCCAAATCCGCTACTAATGCCTTCTTTATATCATTATTATTTGCTTGCATATGCCATACTATGCAATTACATATTTTTTTCCGTATGATAATAAAATATAATAAATCTTTTCCGTCGAAACATTTCCCTTTGCTAGCCTTAATAGCTTCCGAAATAATAAGTATTTTTTTTTATTCTCAAAACTGCTTAATTTCTTGCAACTTAATTGTAAGATAACAGACAACACAAAAGAATTTTCTGAAATTCTTAATCAAGCGGTTTTCATTGAATGTTTATTGAAACATAATTTTGTGTACAAATACAAATGTTAGAGTATGTTACACGTTTTTCACCAAGGAAATAGCATGAAAGTTCTTCGAGTTAAATATTGACATTTTGCTCATATACATATTTTTGTTTCACTTCATTCTTCTCTGGTCCGATCGTCTCAATAAATATTTTAAAATAAATAATTGTCCAAATTGTTGCAGAAATATAAAGATACTCCATAAACTCTATTGAAAATTGAAAATTTTTGTTTTGCACGCGCGTCTTTTTCTTTTAAAAATGGCACGAAATTTGTGGTTGTGCATTATGTACTATACAAGTACAGATTTTACTTGAAAAGTATTTTTTTAAATATGTGATCAAACTTTAGTGTGCATTACATGTGAGTACATTATACGCGAAGACTTATGTTTTATTTTTTGAACAATATATTATGAAATTAATTACAGAAGATGGATGGAACAAATGATGTTGATGAGTTTGAAAAATATTTCCAAAAAGCCTCAACTCAGATGACTAATGTTCAGTTAGAAGAAATAGAAAGCAACATACAACGAAGAGGTAGTCTTCCTGAATCACAAAAAAAAGTAAAAAGCAATTTCAATTTTTCAATTTCTTTTTCACAATAAATATTTTCACAAAATTATAGTTATAAATTTTAATTATCAAGTGCTTAAAATAATAAAATCATTAATAATTCATTATAATAATAATTATTATTTTGAATTTGCGCCATAAAATTTTCTTAATAATAAATTCAATTATTCAAATTAACATTGAAAGCTAAATTCAATTCATTGACAGTCTAAAAAAAAGTCGAAAAACAAACACAGTTCAAGCATCAAGTTGATGGAATCGGATTTGCAGCCTTCTTCAGCCTACAACGAATACTTGAGTGTGTCCAGCAGACAAACGCGAACTTCCATTTCTAACCCAAGTGATGCGCATACTCTTCTGTTGAGGCCAACCAACCAACAAACAAATCAATCCCTATCGGCTTCGAACAGTCGTTCAAATTTATTCACAAGAAGAAGTTCGCAGTCGAAGCTTCAGCAGAGTGAATTTTTGGCGGTTGCTGACACGCAGCACTATCGAAGGGCTAGTCTTACTCCCGAAGAACAAACAGAAAACAAACTTGAAGAAATAAAAAAAGTCCAAAAAGACGGAGGTTTAATTGTGAGATCGTTTCTTACTTCTCCAAAAGGGTTGGTAAACAGAGGCGACTCTTTCAAGAAGCAGTCGGATAAAAGGGAATCCCTCGGTGTAAATACAAAACAGGTTAAAAAACAAATAAAAACGTGCAAATTAACGTAAAACAGTTAACTTTTGATTTGTTGCAATAAAAATACTAGTATATGTAAATATTCTGCAGTGAAAAACATTTAAAATTCTTCATTTCAGGATGGCTCAAAAATACTGCCTCGTAGATTTTCTGATGTGGGGAAGAGAGCATCCATCCCCGTAGCCACATCAGCAACAATTTCTGACCTCATCAACGCCAACGTTATGTCTTCCTCGAACGACGACGAGGCAATCAGTTTGGAGCCGAGAACATCAATAAGCTGTGAACCAACAGCTGGGCGATTTAGTCAACGACATCAATTTGTTGCACGTCCTTCCATAGAAATCACAAAATGCTATCTCCCTGATGAACCACACACGCCAGAAATGATGACTGATGATTCGACAAAAAACACATTTTCATTCTCGAAAACAAGTTGTTAATTGTTTTTTTTTAGTTATATTGTAAGTTTGTAGTAATGTATTTAAAAACGAAACAAAATTATTGAGTAGCACAAAACACGAACTTACACCCTACACACATATACACAACACACACACTCACGCACACACACACGTGCACATATATACATATTACTTTTAATAACTAAAGAAGTTCTAGTATTTAAAAAAGAGCTACACTGAGATCAACAACTATAGACCAATTTCTCTCATAGGATTTTTTAAAGCCATGGATGAAATTATTTATAGAAGATTGCCAGTTTTCTACACAAGTATAACATAACTTCATCAAATCGGTATGGATTTTTAAAACATATTTGACAGAATTTGACGTTTTAGATTTTACTAGTCACATCCCTGGTAACATTGAAAATAGCAAATTGACGTTGGGTTAGGTTCAACGGACCCTTTGATTTTGTTGCATAAAATGTCCAGCTGGTTATGTATCGAGAAAAAAACATTATGTTGATTTGAATGGTTTTAAGTTAAAATTATGCCTGATGGTGAAGGTATTCCATAAGATTCAATTCTAAAATCACTGTTGCTCTTTATGCTAACGATATGGCACATCCATTTAGAATCTTAAACTATCACTAACAAAAAAAATGCAGTTTTATCTTTAATTTATGCGTTAAAAACAAAACGAACTTGTCATGGATAGAGAATACTATCTACATTCCGGGCAAACATGACTTGTAAAGTTTCAAAAAATTTGGGAATTACCAATCGAAACAGAAAATATTATAGTCTTGATATACGATACTCTCATACAACCATATTATTCCTACTGTAAAATAATTTGGAAAACACTTCAGATTCTCGTATGCAAATAATCAAAAAAAAACACAAAAGCATTATCAATCAATCTTCGTTTTGCGTCCAGAGACCCGGTTTCCCAAGGTAGGACGTTGTTTTCTTTGCCATCAACTTTTTGCGCCAAAATAGACGATCAGTTGTATCCATTTCATTTAAATTTAGAGCTTTCATGTTTTGCTCGATTGTTTGCGACCAGGACTTCTTTGGACGGCCTTTGGGACGTGTGCCAGATACTTCAACATCTGCAAGAGAAGTTATGGCACTGTTTCCACTTCGTTTGACATGACCAAACCACCGCAGCACGATGCAGGATTTTGGTAGATTTGATGTGGTCCTTCAGACTAATTCGTTGCATCCATCGGAGCATTTTTATGTCGGTTCGTTGAAATTGTTGAAATTGTTGTTCCAGTTTGGTTGTCATTGGCCATGTTTCTGCACCATATAACAATATAACACTGCTGACACTTGATTGAATTGTTACCTACACCAGCTTTACAAACTGAACAGGGCCATCGTCCAGTAGCTGTGGAAAGCAATGAACACCAGTGTTCATTGCTTTGGTTTTGCTGATGTTGACTTTGAATCCATGATCGGCAAGTCTGGTGTTCCAATCTTCAAACATCTGTGCTGCATTCTGCTCAGACGTGGCTGTTAAAACGATATCATCAGCATATACTAGATTCCAAATGTCACCAGTGCGTATCGGTTTTGTGATTTCTTCCATCACAGTTATAAATAACAGTAGACTGAGAATCGAGCCTTGGTGAACTCCAACGCCGATGTCAAATGTATCTGTGTTTCCAACCGTTGTCTTGACAAGAGTCTTAGTATTCGTATACATTTCCATCACAAGTCGAACAAGATATTCTGGAATGAGTTGTCGACGTAGGCTCCACCTGATTGCTTCACGGGGAACTTGATCAAATGCTTTTTCAAGGTCTACAAAAATGTGTGATAGTTGTTGATTCTTTGCGAGGTACTTATCTTGCAGTTGCCGAAGGATGTGAATTGCATCAATTGTTGATTTCCCCGCTAGAAAACCAAATTGATAATTTCCGATTGTGATGCACGACGTTAATCTTCTCTCAGTGATTTTTTCGACAATTTTCAGGGAGTGTTCTAACAGACGTATACCCCGATATGATGAACAGTTTAATGGATCACCTTTGCCTTTGTATAGCGGGACTGTCATGCTATAGTTCCATTCAGTCGGCATTGAGCAATTTCTCCAGATTTCACGGCAAAGTTGTAGTAACGTTTGGATACCTGCTGTACCAGATGCTTTGATAATGTCATTTGTGAGTCCAGAGGGCCCTGCTGCCTTTCCATCCTTCATAGCTTTCAGAGCTTCTGTAAGCTCCTCTAAAGTGATGTCTGGAATCGGACCTTCGATGGGTGGAGCGTCAAAGTTAACATTGATGGGATTTGTTTCGTTTAACAAACGATTGAAGTATTCTCTCCATTGTAGCTTGATCTCATCTTGTTCAAGAACCATCTCATTTTTGTCGTTTTTGATACA